GGAGGTGGATTGGCTGGAAGCTTGGTTGGAAGCGAGAGAGGTGCCTAACAACCAGGTGAAAGAAATGTTGCCTTTCCTCCTTGTCATTGCTAAACCTGTCTGCTTTCCCCAACACTTCACCCTTTCTCTCCTTAAGGCTGTGCTGTAAACCTCAGCTAACAATTGAGTTAATCACAGATCTCTGTATTGTATGTTCTCACTTAACAGACAGGGCAGAGGAGAGGGCAGGTGGAGCATTCAGCCCAGAAATGGGATTTCACTTCAAGAAATCGAAACAAGAAAAACCCTGTTTGGTCTTAGTGACATCTGCAGCCTCTTTCATGTTTGCCTAGAGGGAATCCCAAGAATGCATTGTTCTGGCATGTCAGAGAACAGATTTAAAAACTTTATTAAAGCTAATGTTAAAAAAATTATGTAATACATAGGTCGAGAAAAGAGTGTCTGTACATCTGGGCATAGTGCTTAGATTATCCACAAATGCAGAGTTTGTTTTTAAAAGTCATATGATACATAGAGTACATAATCAGCAATAACCCACATTTAGGTGAATACATTTAAGAATACAGTTTAGATATTAGCATCCAAGTATCGGGGTACATCACTCATTTAAAGTTGTACAGAGATTTGGTTGTTGAAAGCAAAATATATCAATAAGTGGAGATTGTCCCTCAGTAATTGAGAATTAAGGTAGGTTGTCCATTTAGGAAATACCATCTATCAGGGAAGTCTTTCAGTTACTTTCCTTACTGCGCTTCTCATTGGCACTCCAGCTCATCCCTCCTGGTATTGTTGATGTCCACTGATGTGTTCTATGTAGATGTCCCTCGCCCATCTGATGGCATCTGACACCATGAGTTGCCGCATCAGCCGAGAGTAGCATTGACCGATTCCGCATTCTCGTAACACTTGCTCATTACTGGGGTCTCATGCGCCCAAGGCTCCGACAATCAGCACGTGTGTCTGAACCTGGTGACCCCTAGCTCTCAAGGTGTCGGCGAGAGGCGCATATTTCTCCACTTCTCGAGCTCTGGCATTGTGGAAGGCTGGGGGACCTGTTCTCGAAGGGTACTGTGACGTCCACCATGATGATCTTCTTTCATTCCTCATTGGTGGTGATGATGTCCGGTTGCTGTTGGCAGATGGTTCTGGGGAGTTCATGGCAACCTTTCCTATGGGTAGTGGGAGGCTCTGACCAGGCATCGTCGCAGCTGCCAGGCTCTGAAATGGGACTTGCCACTACACAGGACGTGGGGTAGTGTCTCGTTGGCATAGCCACACTTCCTACATTGCTTGTCCCGATTCCCAGGGCAGACAGCTCTGTTCAGCGGAACGCAGTTAAGCTGGGCCCTGTGGATTAACCTGAAGTCAGCAAATCGTGTGAAGCTGACCCCGGGGAGGAAGTGGTTGCTGGCGTCCCACTTGCACGTCACCTCAAATGCCTTGCCCTGGTCCGGCTTCCGCTTCAGATTTTCCACATACTGGCAGTGGATGGCATCCTTCAGGGTCCTCTCCAGCATGGTTCTAGCTTTCAGAGTGAGGATTGTGTGGTTTGTGTTCTTCACCTGTGGCACCAGGACTCCCAACTCCTGGCATTCCTCACACCACGTCCAGCGGCAGCCGATACGATTCTGCAGTTATCGCATAGAGTTGCGGGCACAAGTCCAGAGCGAAGCAAAGTCTCCCCCGTCTCTTCCAAATTCGCCTTCCAGCGAGCCATTCAGGTAGGTGGCAACATCTTGACTGGAAAGGGTCCTGGCGATTGGCTTTTTGATGACCTCCTGCATAGCACTTTCTGCGATGTTCCTCACCGTGGTGTCCGGGCATGTCAGAAGGCGTAAGGCTTAAGTGATCACTGCAACGTTGCACAGATCACCTATTGGAGGGATATTGGCACCGCTCTGCCTGTGCGAGATGCACACCAGTTCATTGCTGGCTTTCTGGGGAAGAAACATCCACTTCTTCACCGGCTGCCTAATGGCTGGACGCGGAAACCCGTCAGCGTGCCGAGATGTTGGTATGCTTGCCTGGCCTCGAGGAAGATCATGGATTCACCCTGGATCTGAAAAGACGTCGCCTGGACTGAATCCCCTCTACTGCCGTTGATATGCAGGGATGTGCACTCTCTAGCATTGAAGTGGAGTCCCATCCAGTTGGCAGCCTGGCTGGTGATGTCGAGCATTTATTGGAGATACTCGGGGTTGTCTGCGATCAGCAGGGCCGGCTCTAGGATTTTTGCCGCCCAAAGCAAAAACAATTTTGGCCGCTCCCTCCCCCCTGTTTTTTAATTACCCCACCCCGGCCCCGCCTCATCTCCGCCCCTTCCCCAAATCCCCAGCCCTGCCTCCTCCCCCCAGGCTCTGAAGCCTGGGAGGGAGGGGGAGCAGCGGCGTGCGAAACGGCCACTCGGGATCTCCCCCTCCCTCCCAGGTTTGAGAGCCTGGGAGGGAGGGGGAGACTCCGAGTGGTCGCGGCGCGCGAAACGGCCGCTCGGGATCTCCCCCTCCCTCCCAGGTTTGAGAGCCTGGGTGGGAGGGGGAGACCCCAGCGGCCGCTGCGCGCGAAACAGCTGATTCGCGCGCCGCTGCTCCCCCTCCCTCCCAGGCTTTGAGTTCCCTTGCTCCCAGATACGATTTCTGCAGACAGGTTTTTAATGAGTCTGGCTACAAGGAGGTCAAAGTCATCGAAGGAGGCTGTTCTTGCCAACTCCTCTATCCAAGCGGCTTGCCGTGGTGTGGCGGCCCTCGCTGAAGGCTACTGCTCCTCTGGCTGCTCAATCTCCACAGGCTCAGGCTGGGAAATTGCTGTGGGATTAGCCTGTCACCTATTTTCCTACCTGTGTTGAGTACTCCGTTTGGCTGGATCTTGAGGCATGATCTCTGGAAGGAGGGCGGTGTCTTCCCTTCCAGATTTTAGGGCAGCACTTGTTCTCCTGCACCCAAACTCCCTCCCCGGAGCCTGCACCCCACACCCCCTTCTGCACCCCAACCCCCTGCCCCAGCCCAGAGCCTGCATCCAGCATCCAAACTCCATCCCAGAGCCCATACCCCTCCCGCACCCAAACTTCCTCCCAGAGCCTTAGGCAGGTGTGTAGGGGGGGGAAGGGGCAGGACTTGGGCCCGTTCTGGGCACCACCAAAAATTATACAAACCTGCCGCCCCCACTGCAGGAACCACCTCCGCAGCTCCGATTGGCTGCCGTTCCCCGTTCCCAGCCAATGGGAGCTGCTGAGTTGGTGCTCGGGGTGGGGGCAGCACACATAGACCTCCCTGGCCGTGCCTCTGCCTAGGAGCCGCAGCTGGACATGCCGGCCGCTTCTGGGAGCGGCATGGAGCCAGGGCATATAGGGAGCCTGCCTTAGCCCTGCTGCACTGCCGTACTTTTAGCACCCTAAAATCTCCCAGATTGGCTTCAGTAGATTAGATTTTTATCAGTAAATGTCAATTTCGCAGCACACACAGAAACCAACAAAAAATACTTTCATCAATAATCAAAATTTGCAGAGAGGTGAAGTATGAAAAATGCTGCTTGAGAACTTAGAGTTTGCATGAAGGATAATTGCTTTGTATATTTTGACATGTGATGTTGACAGTTTGTATTTGAAAGGTTATAAAGGTTTATCTTTTTGAATCTCTGTGGACACTGTCATTAAATAATTGTCCGAGCCACAGAATTTCCTGCAAC